GCAATTATATATAATTTTGTCATGAACACTTTACGAGAACTGATGATCTAATTGACAATGGGGATAATGTATTTATTATTTGTATGCGTGTGTATCTATGTGTATAATAATAGATGTGATAGAGAATAATAGTAACACATAAATTTATTTTACTTTTTTGTAGGTAAAAGAAAAGAATGCGCAAAGGAAGACACAAACACGTTTAGTAATATTAACTCATCGCCGTCTCCAAAACGAACTAAATCGTTGCGGGAAACTCCAACACGGAATTCAGTTCGATTACGCAAATGATTTATTTGTAAAATTAAAATATAAAGTTTTTTTAATGGACAAATGTAATATTATATGAGTTCTATGTAATAATAGTAGTACAATTAGTAATTATGTCACAAAGTAAGTATTAAATTTATTGTATTAAATATAAATAATATTTAAGATGTCAGAGTAGTTGATGCCTTTTTTATGATATTTAGGCGAAAATCTAGATTTAATTAAAAATAAAAAAGTAATGTAAATTTATGTAGGAAGGTATAATTTTTATATGAGATAATTCCTATATTATTAAATATATGTAAGACAATGTAATAGAATAAATTTAAATAGAAGCATTAAAAGATAAAGAACTTGGACACTAATTTTATGTAGAATAGTTATATTAATCTTATTTATTAGCTATATTTATTAAAGATGATTAAGCTCCAATTAATTTATTAATTGTCGACAATTAACTCAAGTCACAACCAGTTACAACAATTAACTCACAAAAATTGCTTACAGCAATTTGTATCTATACAATTTATTGTTTCTAATCTCATTTTTATTTCCATGTGTCAAATAAATAGTTCTATTCACATTCACAACAAAGTAGTATAAATATTGATTAAGTTAATCGTTGATTAAATTGATCAACGTTTAGTCGCCTTCAGTGACTTTTAGATGACGACATTATCATCATTAGATAATATAGATATTATATCATTGATAATAGGCAGAGTTAGCATGTATTTAAGTACTTTTATTTGCAAAATAGTATATTTATAAGAGACAATTATATTTTGTATTTTAGTGGAGAACATGAAAATATTTTGTATTTCAATATAATAATAACAAAAGATTAAAAGTATTTTGTGTTTAAATACTAAAATTAACAGTTAATTATAATATTAACAATACATGCTTAACACTAATAGATATTATTATATCATTGTTGGATATGTGTATTAATTGATATAAGTGTCGGTAATGTCGGTTAGTTAATTCGTCAATATAGTTGCTGTTAGTGGTCACGAAAGCTGTTGGACATGTATCACTAATGTGTGTTTGTAATCATATTTAAGATATTCTTTAGGAAAATGACGTCGATAATGAGAAACTATTGGAGATTATCGCGAAGTTTACCATTTACTACGCCAAAATATAATGGTATATTAATTATAGGAACGACGTTTTTATTAAATTATGTAATAATATACGCCCGTGTTTGACAGGTTATGCTATCGCTTCTCCGTCATTTGTAAGATATAATACCACAACTACCAGCGAGAAGACCGATAAAACTGAGACTCGTCGTATGTACAATTTATTTATTTAGTTTAATATTTATGTTTAATATGTATG